AAAGTTGAGAAGGGCCGTGGGGAGGGTGCTTGGCATGAAAGGTGGGGTGGGGTTCACTGGGAAGAACATTATTGCCACTTGAGGGTATGAGGGGAAGCCAGGCGCAGGGCAGACAAAGCCATCTGTGGTCAGCTGCTTATGGCTGGCCCTGGGCTCATCCTGCCTGCCCTAGGAAGATTCACAGCAGTCAAATTCACGCAGAAGTGTGGTCAGATGAGTGAGATTAGCTGTTCTTTTCCAAAGGGGCAAACCAAGGGCAAAGCAAATGTAATGAGCTGAGATGGGATGGGCGGACCTTTGGCTGAAAGAACAGGGATCCAATGGCTGGCCAGTTGTCAGTATCGCTGGAGTTTGGATAAGAAGTCAAATCTCAGCACCACCCTGCCTCCCATCCGCAGCAGTGTGGAGAGGGACCTAGCTGTTCCTTCTTTCGTGTGTGTGTCTGTGTGCGTGTGTATAGGCACGGTGTGTGTATATCTCTCTATGTGTGTGCATGCATGGTGTGTGTGTCTCTCTGTGTGTACATGTGTCTTTGTGTGTGTGTGTGCATGCATAGTGTGTATGTGTCTGAGTGTGTCTGTGTGTGTCTCTGTGTGTGCATGCATGTGTGTGTCTCTGTGTGTGTGTCTGTAAATATGTGTGCACACGTGTGCTCAGATGAGTGTGCATGTACACATTCACACAGAGGCCAAAGGTCAGTGCTAAGGATCTTCCTCCGTCATTTTTTTTTTTTTTTTTTAGACAGGGTTTCTCCCTGAGCCTGGAGCCCTGCAGTGTAGCAAGAATGGCTGGCCGGAAAACACAGCAGCGATCCGCCTGTGTCTGCCTCCCCAGTGCTGGGATTGCAGACAGAGACTGTACCAGCCTTTTATGAGGGTTCTGAGACCTGAAGCCAGCTGGTCACGCTCATGCAGAAAGCACATTATTCACTGGGCCATCTCCCTAGCACCCTGCAAAGTCATTTAAGCAGTTTTGACAGTTCTCTTGTTGATTGTATGGAGACTGGATTTTTTTAAATGGTTTTTAGCCTATCATTCCAAAGTGCTCCTCAGAATTACCTTATTTAATTATACATTTAAAGATTTAAATTTAAAACTTAAAAGGATTTTTTTTATTTAGTTATAAATCATTTTAAAGATTCAACTGAACACGTGATGTGTTGAATATAAAACCACTAATATGAGGCTGGAGAGATGGCTCAGCATTTAAGAGCACTGGCTGCTCTTCCAGAAGATCTGGGTTCAAGTCCCAGCACCCACATGACAGCTCATTACTGTCTATAATTCCTGTTCCAAAGAATCTAACGCAGACATAAATGCAGTCAAAACTGTACATAAAATAAAAACAGATAAATTAAAACAAAAAAGCCAGAGGTGGTGGTTCATACCTGTAATCCCAGCACTCAGGGAGACAGAAGCAGGCGGATCTCTGAGACTCTGAGGCGAGCCTAGTCTACAAAGTGAGTCCAGGACAGCCAAGGCTACACAGAGAAACCCTGTCTCGAAAAACCAAAAACTAGAAACCAAAAACAAACACTAATATAATGCCTGAAACATGGCAAGTGCTTAATGTTGATGGCAGCAGCCATTTTTCTTGCATGATCCTGATGGCCGCGGGAGGCCCTGAGTAGCTGAGTGTCTGAACAAGGATTGGATTACCCGCCCTCTGACTTCAAGCCAGTACCTGTGCATACAGAACCCTGTTTCCACGAACTCACCATGATTCTGGTGGCTCATGTCACTCCTTAAATCTGTCAGTGCCATTTCCAGGTATGATCACCAATATAATTTTAAGATTCGACTCACAGGATATGTAATAGAACACAGAAGAGACTTGACTCTACATGTCTTGGTTAGGCTTTCAGTTGCTGCAAATGAACACCGTAGCCAAAAGCAACTTGGGGAGGAAAGGGTTTATTTCACCTTACCATTCTCAGGTCACACTCTTTAATGAGGAAAGTCAGGTCAGGATCTCAAGGTGGGGACCTGGAGGCAAGCGCTGCAGCAAAAGCCATGAGGGAAGACGGCCAATCTGCTTGGTCCTCATGGTTTGTTCAGTGTGCCCTTTTACACACCCCAGGATGACACTACCAACAACCGGCTGGACCCTCCCAAATGAATCTTTAATCAAGAAAATACTCTCTAAGCTTGCCTATAGGCCAAACTTACGGAGGCATTTTCTCGTCTGAAATTCCCTCTTCTCAGATGACTCCAGCTCTGTCAAGTAGACCAAAAATTAACCAGCATACCAACTAATGACATCCAGTTAGGTGAGGACAAGATTCTGCAGAACTCCTGCCCATGTTCCCTTTTCCAGCGGGTGTCAAATGCAGCTGGCTCACCAAAGAACCCTTGCTCCTGACACCTTGACTCCTCACCCTCACAGGGAGGCACCCTGGAGGATGCACCTTCCCGTTACAGGAAAAAACAGCCCAGAGCTGCCCACCAAAGCACCTCATTCCCTTTCACCCTCATGAGGTCACCAGCAGGGGTGATGGTAGCATTTCCTGGCTCAAATTTAGTCTTTCTAACCTCAAGGAAAATAATGAACTTGGCAAAATGACAGGGGTAGATCAAAAAAAGGAACAAGTTATAAGGTCGGGCAGATAGTCCCTGCCTAGTTTCACTGTTGTATCGGCTATGTGGTGTGCCTTTATTAACAGCTGTCAGGAATCACTTGAAGCTGCAGTCTGGCTACACCAGACCTCTGAACTCCTCTTCATTCTCTTCTCTCCTGTCTAAACTTAATAATCTTCTTTACAGGTGTAGACACCTTTCCTGGTAGTAAATGATAATCTTTCCCCATCTAGTATATGCTTAGCCAAGGAAAGAAAGATAACCTAGCCTTCACAGGCCTGCTTGATTTTAACCCAGGAAAAGTTGACTTGGAAAGTCTGCATGGCCACTCTGCCTGGGGTAAGGTCAGCCTTAAGTCTCACTCTCCTGGGCCAGAAAAGTACAAACCATTAGAGGATCACATAGTTTTCTTCTTTTGTGAGGTTGAAGACAACACCATAAAAGAATTGCTTTAAAGGGAGGAAATGCAGGGGTTGTGGTTTGAATGTGAGATGACCCCTCAGCTCGTGTATTTGAACACTTAGTCCCCAAATCTTAGTTCCCAAACTGCACTCTTTTGGAAGTTGTGGGACCTACAGGAGGTAGGAAGTAGTTCCTCACTGGAGGAAGTTGGTTACTAGGGAGGGACCTTGAGAGTTTTATAGTCCAGCTGCTTCCTTGACTACGGATACAATATAACTAGTGACTCATGCTTCTGCTCTCCTGCCTTCCCTGCTTTCCGGTGCCCCCTCCAACTGCCTCAACCCGGTATGTGGCTCTCATTATGTCTGCACCACCAGGCCCAGCAGGACTCTGTATTCTACAGGATTCTAGGCATAAAGAAGTTAATAAGTAATGGCCCTGAATTTCTGTTTCTAGGAGGTAGATGTCATACCTCATAAAATTCAGGTGTCTGCCAAGGAGAGCATGCTCTTGTCAGAAAGTTATTCTTCCTGCCAGTGAAGAGCCACAGACACCATCCCAGCATTAGCCCAGTGAAGGACTCAGAGCCAGGGTGTTGCCTGGATGGAAAGAGAAGAGGGGTCATAGGTGATGGCACATAGTTGAAACAGTATCTTAATTACTATTCTGTTCCTGTGAGGAGAGACCTTGAGCAAGGCAACTCTAATAAAAGGAGGCATTTAAGCGGGGCTTCCTTAAGGTTTTAGAGAGTTAGTCCACGATTGTAACGGCAGCCAGGCAGAGATGGTGCTGGCACGGTAGCTGTGAGCACCACATCCCAACCCTCAGGCCGCAGGCAGAGGGAGACATGGGCTTTTGGAACCTCACTGCCACACCTCCTCCAACAAGGCCACATCTCCTAATCTCCACCAAACAGTTCATCAACTGGTGGCCAAGCATGCAAACATATGAGCCTATGGGGGTCGTTCTCATTCAAACCCCCTCAAATAGTATGAGACTAGCATAAAGACAGACACACAGGTAGACAGGAGAGAAGAGAAAGCTGAAAATCAAACCTGTGTGTGTACATATGTGGTCAGCTGCCTCTAACAAGAATATACATCAGGGAAGGGACAGTCTCTACCATAAACGCTTTCAGGAAAACTTTGTAGTAATAAGCAAAAGAATAAAATCATACCCTTAGCTTAAATCGCTGCACAAAAGATGAGTTTAGTTCAAAATAGACTAAAGACTTAAATGTAAGACCCAAGTCTCTAAAACTCCACTAAGAAAATGTGAAGAGACACGGCTAGAGAGACGGCTCAGGAGGTAAGGTCACTGACGGCTCTTTGAGAAGACCCAGGTTCCACTCCCAGATCAAAGCCATCTGTAATTCCAATCCCAGGGGGTCTAACTCTCTCTTCGGGCTTCCGCAAGCACTGAATGCACAGAAATACATGCAGGCAAACACTCCCAAAGGTAAAATAAAAACAAAAAAATCTTAAAAACAAACAGAAAACCTGGAGGGGAAACTTCATGGCATTGTACTTAGCTGAGGTCTCATGCATGGGGAGCAAGAGCAAAAGCAGGCAAGCGGAACTTCATCTGTCTACAAAGTTTCTGCACGGCTAAGGAGGGAACCACTGAGTGGGCAGGCAGCCACAGGACAAAGGGCTGATTTTCAACCATAGATCTGGTAATGCGTGAATAACCAAACTAGAGAACGGGCTCCTGCAACTCAACAGCAAAAATAAAAGACTTAATAACAGTTTTTAAGCTGGACAAGAGGGGGGAGGATTGGCTCAGTCCTTAAGAGTACTGGCTGTTCTTCAGGAGGTTCAATTCTCAGCAGCCTCATGGCAGCTCACACTTGCCTGTAACCCCTGTAACTACAGTTCCAAGCAATCCAATGCCTTCTTCTGCCCTCCATGGGTACTGCATTCATGCGGCACACAGACACTCATAGGGGCAAAACATCCATACATGTAAAATATTTTTTTAATGGGACGAGGACTTGCTATTGACATTCTTCCAAGGAAAATATTTACTGACCAACAGAAATGTAAAGACATCCGACATTACTCAGCATCAGGAAAATGGAAAGCAAAGCCACAATAACATATTGCCTCACACATGTTCAAATGGCTATTTTTAAAAACTAGTCAGTATTGAAGGGGCCGTGGAGAAATCAGAACCTTTGTACACCGTTGGTAAAGCTGGGAAATGACACAGCCAGTTTTTCTTCAAGAAGTTAAAATTTGAACTACCATGTGGTCTGGCAACCTGCCGTTTACTCGAGAGACCTGAAGGCCAAGGCTCAGCTGCATTAGCACTCATGTTCACAGCAGCGTTATTCACAATAGCCAAGCTGTGGAGACCATCTAGCTGTCAGGGGGGACACTGGAGACGGAACGAGTGTATGCACGCATCACGGAATACTCTTCCGCCTTGGGGAGAAAGCCTGCAACATGACACAGCATAGATGAACCTGGAGGTCCTCGGGAGGGGTAAAATAAGCCAAGAGACAGAAAGACAAGCACTTGGTGATTACGCTTACATGATGTACCCACAGTGGTCAGACCCGTGGAAAAGGGAACAGCATGCTTTCTCACTGGAGGTGAGTGGCACATGGAGAATTGGCTTGTTCCAACAAGGATCAAGTGCCAGTCACACAAAATAAGACCTAGACACGTGCTGTCCAGTGTAGTTGAGCTGTGTACTCGGAAGCTCAAGAAGACAGCTCTCACGTTGGGCACTGAGAAATGTAGTAGTCTATGATGAAGTTTGTATTTGTTCCTTCTTGTTGCTGCAATAAAACACCATGACCACAGGTGACTTATGGAAGAAAGAGATTGCCTTATGCTTCCAGAGGGAGAGTCCTTGATAGCAGAGAGGGCATGTCAGCAGGCGGCCAGAACAGGAAACTGAGGGATTACATCTTTAATCACCTGTTGAGAGAACAAACTGGAAATGAGCTGATCAACTCCAAGCCCATCCCCAGTGACGTACTTCCTTCAACAAGCTTCCATGTCCTAAAGGTTCCAGAACCCCAGAGACATCACCACCAACTAGGGACCACGTGTTCAAATACCTGAGCCTATGGGGACATTTTTTCATTCAAACCACCCTGGTGGGCGATTTCGAGCTATGGAATGCTGTGTAGACTACATTGAGACTTAAAAACAACCTAAACAAGGATATTTAGAGCTTAAACAGCAGAGCAGTTCAAGAAAGTGGATTAATTAACAGCTTCTCAAGGTCAAGGAGGTAAGTTATTCCCATGCCTTTGCCCAACTAGATGCCACAGAGCAGTTTCACTGTGAGTGGTTCCCCTCACCATCACTAGGCAGTTGCCATATCCCGAGAGAAGAAACAACCATGACAAAGTCCTCAGGAGAACTAGGGACCATCTTTGCTAAGGTCAATAAGCCTTCTCGGCAGCCATCAAAGTCCCTCTAACACCTCCCTGACCAGAGATGAGCCCCGTTTTATTCCTGACCCTGCCATGCTCCTCCTACCATTGTTCAGACTCAATAATACTCTGTGGCCTCCCCCTGCCCTCCCCCATAACTATTCTGGCACTTCAATGCCAAGGCATTAAATGCAAGGAGGCTGAATAGCCATCCAAGCAGACTGACACACTGCTGGAGGCATCATTTGAAACAGAAAGGCCAAGGATGTGACTAAGGTGACCCCTGCCAAGCTCCCAACAATCCCCTCCCCCCACCCCTACCCCATATCTAACAGGAAACACACACACTGGACCAACAGCTCTCCAATTACAACTTCCAGGAAACTACTTCAGAAGGTGAAAGCATTTCCAGATGGAACAATCATCTCAAGGAAAGGAAGGACTGCCCCGCACAGGAAGTTCTGTCGGGGAAGCTGTTGTTCAGGGCACATGCCCCCCAGCATCCTGCAGGAAGCTAGCTGTCAACTGTCTCAAGCTTCGTGGCTGCTGCTCAGAAAACAGGGTCAAAGGAGTCACCTTACCTTACTGTGAACTTCAGAGTCCAAATTAGAAGACTTTAAATTTGACTAAAATAACTGTTTGGAAAGAAGATCTCTGAGTAATGCCATTATTATCCCCAAGGCTTCCCAGAGGCCCTGAGAGGGTCTGTTTAATGCTCTGAAGAGTCAGGAGCGAATCACACCATAGGAGGTGACCCAGCGAGTTTCCTCTCTCTGCTTCCTGGGGAGGCTCCTGGAAGCCAGGGTTTGCCTGCACAGCCATCAGCTGCCTGAATGTAGGTAGCAAGTGTGGCAGCTCTTCCGATTTAGAATGCAAGGGTAATTGCTGCTCTGTCCTGCCTTCAAGAGCAGCAGAAGGGCTCTGATCTGCCTAAAACCAGCGAACAGCTGCTTCAGCCTCACCGGAGGATTCTAGTTGTAATATTCAAAATGGTGTCAGTGCCCTTGCCAATATTCTTGCTGCCTCAAGAGAATCCTCCAGAACATTCAAAGTAACCTATTTCTCTGGCCAGTGCAGGATTCAGATATGAAGTTGACATGAACCTGAGCCTTGATCCCCAAGATGTGGGATGGAGCCTAATGGGAGTAGAGCTCCTGGAAAGGAGTGGAATGAGGAACCTTTAATCTTAGCAGCGGGGGGGGGGGGGGAGGCAGAGGCAGGTGGATCTCTGAATTCCAGGCCACTCTGACCACCCTGGTCTACAGAGTGGATTCCAGGACAGCCAGGGCTACCCAGAGAAACCCTATATAGAAAAACAAAACAAAACGAAAAACAAGCTCAGTCTGTGAGTCACACCCACCAGATTTTTTTCCTGTGAAACTAGGCTCTGTTTCAAGTATGACCTTTGAGTTAAGACAGAATATCAGCTGACCAAGAAGACTGTCGCCAACAGTCATAAGTGTTATCAGTGAATCTCCAGCTGCCAAAACAAGTTATGTTGTATTTTATAAAGGTGTCCTTGCTGGTGTGATTGAAAGAGTCACCTCAGAAAGCACATGTCCCTGTCCTCCAGAAATAAAAGGGCCCACAGAAATACAATTACCCCATCCACTGCAACCCAGGCTGTCACGTCAAGGCAGCAATTCTGTCATTTGCATGCGTCCAAGTCTTCCAATTTTCAGTACTGCCTTTTACTTTTCCAAGGTTCTCAAGATTTCTTGGTCCTTGAAAGTGGACCTTGAGGATTGGAATCACATCTGTGCCCTGGTACCTCCTTGTAACTTCATGCAAGGTACTAGATACTCTAGCTAGCAAACAAATATTCTTTGGAAATTGAATCCAGAGAGAGGATCTGAGTTGGATCCCTAGGGGGCAACATAGTCAAATACATTGGGAGAATTTGCTTCTAGCCAGTAGAGGGCGAAAGCCATGGGGACAGAGTATTTTCTCTGCAATATAGAAAGTTGTGCCAAAAAGCCAACCAAGGCAAGGCTCTGAGCCCTGAATGATAATCCAGCTAAGTCTGATAGTCCTTCACTTGGATTTCAGGATAACGGATGTGTTACATTATCTCGTGCATGGCCACATTAAGTTTTGAATCATCAACAAACAAGCCCCACGCCCAGTTTTAAATACCTGCAATGCACTATTTACAATTCAGGACGGTCAAAAGAACAGTTGTAATAATGAACACTGATGTAGGAATTCTAGGAAAAATGAAGTAACTTAAATGCCTAAAAGTATCGTTAGTCATAGTTATTTAATCGCTGTGTGCTGGAGACTCAGCCCCTACTCTCATCCCAGCCTCACACTCACCCAGGAAGCAACTATGGTGGGAAAATGGGCCCAAGCCACACTACTTTGTGAGAGGGGTGACGCTCTTTAGATTTAGCCGCAGGACCCTTTGCCGTCTGCTACCTCCCTCAGTCACCTTCCGAGCCTTCATTCAATCAAGAGACTTAATTAGCTACTCTGTAAAGACTCCACCTCATCCTTACTGCCAGAGACAAGGAGACAAGAGACACAGACTTCTCTTTTAAGAGCTCATTTTCCAAAGAAGCATAGAAAGTAACAGGCTGGTCTGAGGATAGAGAGAGCACTGGGGGCTTCTAATGGGCCAGGCTGACTGACCCAGGAGATAAATGGCAGGCTAGAAAGCAACTGGAGAAGGGAGGCACCCCAAGTTACCTGAGGTGCAGATCAGATCTATTGACTAAGTGGCCATCAATGAGTGAGAGAGGCACGCACCAGGAGTGAGTCAAGGATTCTGGCCCGTGTCACCAGGCAGATGCTGACAGCTTCGGGGGTGAGTCCCCCGAAGTCCGCAGCTTCTTAGTACTGTCATTGAGTAGGTGCGGGGCGCTCACAGGCTGCAGCCAACCTGAGCTCTGATGGGGAGATGATGAAGAATGAGCCAGCTGGGAGGGGTTGCCTTTCCAGCTGCACACGTGCTCCTGGAGTTCAAAGGTGAGGCTGGCCCTGGGAGTATGGATTCAGGACGCACTGTCCTTTAGAGGAAGAACAGAAAACCGGGAGAAATCACGGCCATGTCCTGAAGAACACTGTAGGTAAGCGGCCAAGAGAGGAACAAGAGTCTTCAAGAGTTTTGAAAAACTGGCAAAGACAAAAGAACACAGTGGATTTGTAGAGTATCCAAAAAAGGGGGCAACCCTGTTCCCTGGGAAGCCAAATGAAATAAGGGCTGAAACTTAGCCATCCAACAAGTCAGAGGAAGGAGGAACAGCATCACTGCCTCCTGGCAGGAATCCTGAAATCCATGAATGAAGTGCAGCTGAATTCTAGGAAAGATGGGGCTGAGAAACAAGCCCAGCTGTTGTGCTGGAAATGACCCAGATGGGCTCCAGAGGCCCCGATGTTGATGGTTCAGGAAGTCTGTAGATTGCCTCATAACATAGCCACTATTACAAGCTAAATGACATAAACTTAAGAAATGAATGCTATGCTAAAAAGAAGGGTAATAAACAACTAAGGCACATTACTTGCTTATTAAGTACGATTTCTCATTACTGATTCTGCCCAGGTTATCCACATACATTTTCCCTGTGTATAGGGAATGCTGTATAACCATGAAGCTTCTGGACTCACTCACTGACATGTGGATAGCTCAACACTGGCTTTGGTGAAAGCGTTCATTCCATAAGAATCAGCAAATGTACACTTCAGAGCACTTTCCAGACGGCTGCCTCTTGGTGCCAGGATACCACTGACACTAAGCCTCAGGGCAACACCCACCCCCTTCCTCCCTGTGGGAAGAAGCCAGCAGTTCAAGTCTGACCCACAGTGTGCTGACCACAATCTATCAGTTAAAGCTGATCATAGGTGGGTACAGCAGGGACAGTTTTCACCTCGGAAGCGCTGGTGTCTAGAAGTGATCTAGAGAACTGTCTAAGGGTGGGAGCCACGGCTGTCAGTGAGGATACAGGGAGCTTTGCATCACAGAGGAAATGGATTCCAGCCTCCTGGCTCGACACTGAGTGCTGGATTGTAGGCTCAGAAGACATCCAGAGTTGGAGTAGAAGGCTGGCTGGTAGCTCGTCGCCTGTACTGTACTTGGATGAGGACAAAGAGCAGCAGCAGAGGGACTCGATGCCCCATTCCCAGAGGAGGTGGGATCCTCAGTGTATCCACACCTCATTGCCTCTCAGCCGGGCCACACAAGCCTGTTGGAGGCTGTGGGGTAGCAGAATGAGGAAGGTGATGCCTGACAGCCAAGCAGTGGACAGTGATGCTTATTAGAGAAGGAGGAGGAGGGAAGAGAAACAAGGGGAGGAGTGAAAAAGGAAAGGAGGAGAAAGGGGAAGGGAAGGGGAGAGGCAGGAGTGGGAGGATGAGGAGAAACCAGTAAGAATAAGAGGCTGTTGGGTTGCTCATTGGACAACATGAATCATTGATGTATGAGTCACTTGCTACCCTTGAAGACTCACAAGGGAAGGAAAGACAGGAGGACACGGGGAGGGTTGAGCATGCTGTCTAGAGAGAGTTTAAGAAGGAGATGGCTGTCCAAGTGCTCTGCTTTCTGTTACTGCTTCACGTGGGAGCTACAACCCATAGCAGCATCTTCCGCACACCGCTGGTTACGGCCCAGATATACCCCTCCAGCCAGTTCCAGGTAACCAGTCGATTGTACCAAGAAGGCTGACACTACGCTCTTTTTTAGTTCCTGTTTGTGCTGCTTAGTTTCGTAGAAGTTCTTACTTTTGATGTGCTGGGGACATGTGTCACCAGTCAGAGGACATCATGTATGAAGCTGTCCTCAGGTGCCATCTGCATATTACCCTGGGGGTTGAGGTTCATCTTTTTTTTTTTAATCTTTATTTTATTTTTTAAAATAATACATTCACTTTATATCCCAATTGTAGCCCCCTCCCTTGTCTCCTCCCTGTCCCACCTTCCCTCCATCTTTCCCCCATTTCCTTCCCCTGGTCCTCAGAAATGGGGAAACCTCCTCCCCTAACATCTGACCCAGGCTATCAAGTCTCCTCAGGACTGCCAGCATCTTCTTCCTCTTTGGCCTGGCAAGGCTGCATCTCAGAAGGGAGTGATCAAAGAGCAGGCAACAGAGTCCTTATCAGAGACAGTCCCTGCTCCCCTTACTAGAGGATCCATATGGACAGTGAGCTGCCTATGGGCTACATCTGAACAGTGGGCCTACACATCTCTAAAGACACCAAATGTGCCCTGCCACAGTTGGGAGAGAGACTGCAGTGAAGCAAGTCAGGGGCTAATTCCAAGCTGCCACTTTCCTGTTGTCTAGCACTGTCCAGCACAGCAGAAGATAGTCAAACACAAAAAGGGGAGTTTTGGAAGAGAGTTGAGTGTAAGATATGGAAGGATTGTCTGAAAGCAGATTACGGCACATGTGAACTGCAGCCCAAAGGGTGGCTTGGAGCCTCTGGTTCTCTGTGTGAAATGGTGCTAACCATACCTGACTTGGGCTGGCATCAGCATCCAGCAGCAGCAGGTCTGGGAAGGGATGACGCATATGTGTTTACAGATGTGTCCCTTGGGATTCAGGGGTGAGAGAGCCGTAGGGGTGGAGGAAGCCTCTTTGTGCACATGGAACGGCTTTTGAGCTGGAATTTTCATTTCCACAGCAGGTGACTGTATCTTCAGAGAGACAGAAGACATCAGAGAGCTAGAGGCTGGGAGCATGGGTGAACAGTGCAGTGAGGAAGGCAGCAAAGGGGGAAAGCAGAGTTGAGCGTGTTTGTGTTAAAAGCACAGCTCTCGCCTCAAAAGCGATCAGAAATCATTTATTCTGGAGCAAATACGGCTTCCTATGCTTACCCCAAGTTCCATGTTCCAACATGGAAGCAGTTTTACCAAGTTTTGTAGTCACAGAACAAAGATCAAGGCACTTGGGTGGTCACAGAGGGAGGAGACATCTCAGCAAGGGCCTCAGACGTATCCGGTGCCTTTTGGTCGGTGGAAAACTAGCTTTGTTAGGTTAATACATTCCACGGGCTTTTTTTTTTTTTTAAGTCTGTGGTCAGGATGTTAGTTGGGGAGAAGGAAAAAGGAACTGGCTATTCAGTGATCTAAAGATACCCCAAGATAAATTATAATTAGGCTCTGGGCCTACAACATTCCAGTCATGGGAGTTCCAATCAGTTTTTGCAGACACGGCTTCTTCCCAGGAATTCCCCTTCTCAGGCTAGGGCACAGGTGGGCACTGTAGCTGTTTGATTCCTGACTCCTGTGTTGGGTTGGGAAGGAAGAAAAGGCAGGGCAGAAGCAGCTGTGGGGGTGTGCCCCCACTTACCACCTGACAGACACAATTTGTCCCCAGAAGTCTCCTTCCCGTTCAATGACTTGGCTGTGTCTTTGAAGACTGGTTGTTTCTTCTGTAAAGGAGAATCCTCAGGGCCTCCTCAACGTCCCGGGGAGACAGAAAAGAAAGCAAAACACACTGGCCTCTTTGCAACTCACTGCTGTGTGAGGAGGGGAAAATGTGTTCTACAAGCCTCGTAAGTGTCTAGCGGGAGGGACCCCGTCATGGAAGATGGTGTTTCTCGGTTTGCCTCCTATGCCTGGGCAGCTACCCCGGGGATGAGGCATTCTCGAGGGCAGCTTCTGTTGCATCATCAGGGAAGAACAGTAGATACACAGAAAGGTAACCGGCCTAGGCAACAGCGTCTTTAATCTCTCGGACGGCGAACTGTGGGGGAAGCAAACAATGGCAGATAAGGGAAGCTATTTCAGCTTGTTCACTTGATTCCTCTGGTGCCTCTCTAGGTCCTCTAGGGTCCAAAGTCATCTTCAGTGTCAACCTTTGTTCACCCTGATGGGAGGGGCAGGCAGGGCAGCTCCCTTTGGGACTTCATGTGCTGATTTGGGCAAACAGCAGGACAGGAAGCTCACCTGTGTCTTGCCTCTGTCCTGTCACTTGAGTGCTACTCACATATGCCAAGGGGTGTTTTCAGGGAAGTGAGTTCTGTCCTTCCCTCCTGCTCCATACGTAGACTGTGTGCTTTGGGGTAAAACGAGCTCCGGTACCTGGAAGATGGTGGAAAGCAGTGTAGGCGAAGTCCGCAAGAACGCGCATGGCTGACATGAGCACAGCCATGGGGAGGCACCAATGTCTCAGACCCATGAGAAAGGGAAGGCTTCCTCCCATTTTCGTATGGATGCTGACGGACGGATGTTGACCTTCCACTAAAGCCGGTGCACTCAGAGAGTACCGACCACCGCTTCCTCATCCCAGATGACTGTAAAACTGCTCCCCTACAGAGACCACCTATGGAGATGAGCTAACCCAGCTCTTCATCCACGCTGTAAATAATAAACAGGTTGAGTTTCAGGACATACTGCTTGCATGTCCCCAGGGCACGGCCACTGGGTCCCAGCTTCACATTGCTTACACCTGTCAGTTCTTCATGGCTTAAGGCCCCAGTCAAATCAAGCCCAAAGCCGCGAGGGCTCTGGCGGGAAGTCCTTTCTGAAGGGAGGTGATGGTGGTGGCACAGTGACCACACTGGCAGATTGTCACCTTTCCTAAGCATGGTCCGCTCCCTGCCTTCTGAACTCAAGTGATAATGGCTTGGGGCTGGGGCCCCTCTGGCATGAGCTTAAGGAGGAAGGGGTCTGAGATAGCTGCCTTGTGTTCCCAGGCCAGCCCATCCCATAATAAACACATTGTCTGCATAGATCCCCAGACATTCTCCATTGAGTTTAGATAACTACAGGCAGGGACAGGCCACTGTGGAGAAAGGTCCCACTACCCCGTCTGTCTGTTACCATATGCAAGGTCAGACTGGAACACATCTACTGAAACCGCCAGCAAGGGGTGCACATGGCCTAGGGCAGGCCGGATGGGAAACCTTTAACCTAGTGACTCACTTTTCCTACCTAGAAATAGCAGGTGAGCATCCCGTTCTTCTCCATGACTCACCCTCTGCCCCTGAGCCTGTGTGATTCCACCAGCACCTGTGCCCCTAACAAAACCCGATGCCTGTGGGCTTGGTAGTCTAAGTCACAATTCCTCAAAACACTAAGTTGTGAAACTTTGTGCATTAAGAAACATGAGCAAGGTCTCTCTATGCTCATTGGCAAATCCGGAACTTCCCTCATTAGATTTCTAGGATGGACCACAAGCTCCCCGGGCTCACCACTGCTTATTCTGCAAATGCTGCATTTACGAAGCCTGCCAGAATCTTGGCAGGTAGGATTTCTAAGGCAGACAAGGAAGGAAAGCAGAGGTCAAGGCTCATTAGAGATGCTGACGTACTGAAATGTCAAGGTTGCTGTGTAAAGCTCCATGCCCACACAATGCAAATTTATACTCCCTTGGTATATGCACTGAAGTTAGTTTTACCTCTGAAATTGTGGGTCTAAAATAGTCTGTTGTGGCATTTCCTAACCTGCACACTTCTAGATGTTTCCATTCACTGCCTTGCTCTTAGTCAGTGGTTCTTACATAGGAATGATCAACGGATGAAGAAAAACACACCCTTTACGTTGAGTCTGGAGAGTTTTCCTTTCTAAAACTACAGGGAGTTCTGAAGAGAGGGGTCAGCTGTTAAGCTTGCTGCTTTTCCAGAGGCCTAGAATGCGGGTCCTAGCACCCATACTGGCTGGCTCACAGCTGTCTGAAACCACAGGGGCTCCAACAAGATTGCCTTCTTCTGGCCTCTGAGGGCAATTGCAAACACACACAGACTCATACACATACATACATAAGTAAAAATTTAAAGCCTTTTTTTTTTTTTTTCTTTTAAAGCTAAGAAACAGATATAAGTTGCCAAAGCAGTAACTAGAAAACGGACTTCCTTCTGGGCCACCGTAAGTTGGCTCTGCCCTCGACCATGTTCAAAGCCTTTGTTATGAATGTGTAGAGGAAGTAGGCAGCAACCACACTGGATCTAAAAACTCCTGGTTGCTGTATGTGGTTTTTGTAAATCGGTTTCAGTACGTCACATTTCCACATCAGATGTGTGATAACAAGACCAAGATTACCCAGGAGAAGGATATTGTACCATACAACACCTGCCCATATCGTCTGTAGTTTCCTTGAGCTGACAAAGAATCCTGTGCTGACATGGCTGAGCCATCCCATGGAAAGCACAAAAATCTGAAGTAGGAATGAGCCAGGAATGTGACAGAGGTGTGGCCCTGACACATCCTAGTGGAGGCCAGTTGGCACTGAGACATTCCTTTGTACTGTATGGAATGAAATAACCAGGTGTCAAAAATCTGCAGCCTTGCAACACGGAGCTGTAAAGTATGCTGGCTGTGCCTAATAGCCTTTGCAAAATATAATTACAGATTCCAATGCTTTGAGAGTCGCCATGGAAATGACTCAAACTAACCTAATATAGTAACAGAAGCTGGTAGAAACCTGGTGTCCATGTGTCAAAGCAGGAGGGAAGCCAGGAGCTAGCAGGCCAGCTAGAGGCAGAAAGTGGGTGCCCCTCAGAGACAGCCCCCAACCCAACTCTCCTCCACAAAGAATGGGATCTGAAATTTAGCCGGCAAACGTGTCCACACAGACACCTCCACCCACTGCAGACCTGGAGAGACCTGGAGTTTATTTTTAAATTCTTTAAAAATTACTTGAATGTAGCTGAGTAACTTCCCAGAGAGAAGGAGAGGACCTGGACTACATTGAGGTCACATACTAAAACAAGAGCCAAAAATGTCACATCTTCCCATGCTCCATCCTGATCCCTTATAAAGGAGTTTGGGGAGCTTAGCACGATGCTAGCTAGGAACGCCTATTTTGTAGTACTCCCTGCTTCAAACCCCTTTATTGAGAAGCCATTGAGGAGATGTTTGGGAGCACATATCCCCAATTAATCATCTGTACAAAAAAAAAAAATCTTGTAAAAGCCAAGTTTAGAGCTTTCACAATCATCAAGACAGTATTTACAATACATGCATATTTTATAAAATATTATAATAAAGAAAATAATTGGTTATGTTTCTTGTCACTAATTTAGCACTAACTATGGCATGGTTTGTTTGATCTAGAGGTTATTATAAAGCTTCATTCTAACTTGCTTTGGATCCTGACCTCTGGACACACAGGGACAGCTACTAAGTCATTTGGTTAGACTGGCATATGTCACATGCCCCTGTCTCTGCACTGTAGACTAGTGTTTGCCCTGCTTCCAGCCTGGCTACCCGATGGCCTTTGCAGGAAGTAAAACGATACAAGTAAATCTTCCCCATCAATGTATCAATCTGAAATGCCCTGCATTTCATCACTTGCACCAATGACCATGGATAGAGCCCCACCCTCCTCTCTGGATTGTCCTGAAAACAAAGAATGCAGGTAACATCTCAGGCAAGTGGCAAGTACCAAGTAAAGACAGTTTTATTGTTCCTCTCACTCTTATCACTCCTACTGGTGGATTCTACTTTCCCTAGTGAGCATGGACGTTCTTGGTAATTTCCGGTATAAACTCAGAAAGGCCCCATTAAATGAATGGTGGCTGGGCTGGCTGGCCTGGCTGGCCTTCCTCCTGCCGCTTGATGAGAGCACTTAGCTCTCTGGCATGACAAGTCCCTTGCTCTGCTGTGTGGATCTTGCATGGGAGCTACAGAACAGTGGTAAATACAAGTTTTCCCTCCTTAAAGGGAAAGGGACACAGCAAAGTGGGAGAGGGACAATATTAGACCTGTTTACTCAGCCTGGGTCCACTTAACCAGCATGAAAATGGTCCCTGCGTGCACACAAATACATACACACACAACAACACAACACACATACAGACACCATACCACACACACACATATACCACACACACATACACCACATGCACAAACACACACACACAAACTACACATCTTTAAACAGCTATGTAAGGTGTTTCTTTTAGTATGAACCCCCATGTATTTTTCCTCAGCAGTTTTCCTGCTGCTAGGTCATCATTTTGGAGGAAGATAAATCAAATCATCTTTGCTTAGTATTTACTACCTTATTTGGATTTTTTTAGGAACTGAAATTTGCATTCAATGCAAGTTAAAGGAACAATTTTTGAGAGTTCAAATGTATCTGAATCCCAGCCTAAACCAGGATCCTGCTTCCTCCTTAATCACAAATCATTTTTAAATGAAAATTAAAAGGGGCTTCATGGTCTTAAAGTGATACACTACAGATACAGTTCTGGTCTGTGCTCCTAGTTTCAGGTGAGAGTTGATCCTCAATACCTCCTTGGAGAACGGTGAGGCCATGAGGTCCTCAGTGGTGCTCTGGAGACACCATGGTATGTGTGAACTCTCAGCCAACCCAGGAGAGTTGGTCAGTCTGTCAGACGCTAATGTGACCCACGCTGTCACTGACCTCCACCCTCACCTTGTGATTCCATCTCTGCCTAACCCACCTCACAGACTTCTCAAAAAATGTTTTTCTTTCTCTTACCCACATGGCTGGTGGCAAATACAGTGAAAGCAGGACAAAGGGTGTTTTGGAACCATTAACCCTGTGGAGACAGAAATCATGGCTTTGCATAGCTATGGCCGTCAAATGCAAGACTCCCACTCTTTTCTTATTCTGGACCCCAAAAGCAGTAAGCACCATCACCACCTCTGTTTGGGGGTCA